TACACGCTTCTTCCTTTTCAGGGTCGCGTGGGTCACTGGTGCCCATATCCAGCAGTCACAGTGCGAGGGGCGGGGTACACCCTGGACAGGTCTCAAATCCATCATAACGAGATATTTTAGTTGTTTTGACATATCTCATTTTTACAAGATAGCTTTCTCGTTATAACGAGATAGTTTTCTCATTATAATGAGATATTTTAGTCGTTATAACAACATATTATCTCATTTTTACGAGATAGTTTTCTCGTTATAACGAGATAGTTTTCTCATCATAACATGATATTTTAGTTGTTTTGACATATCTCATTTTTACAAGATAGCTTTCTCATTATAACGAGACAGTTTTCTCATTATAACGAGATAGTTTTCTCATTATAACGAGATATTTTAGTCGTTATAACAACATATTATCTCATTTTTACGAGATAGTTTTCTCGTTAAAACGAGATAGTTTTCTCATCATAACAAGATATTTTAGTTGTTTTGACATATGTCATTTTTACGAGATAGCTTTCTCATTATAACGAGACAGTTTTCTCATTATAACGAGATATTTTAGTCGTTATGACATTTTATCTCGTCTTTACGAGATAGCTTTCTTGTTATAACGAGATAGTTTTCTCATCATAACGAGATATTTTAGTTGTTTTGACATATCTCATTTTTACGAGATAGCTTTCTCGTTATAACGAGATAGTTTTCTCATAACGAGATATTTTCGTCGTTATGACATATCTCGTTTTTACTAGATAGTTTTCTCATTATAACAAGATAGTTTTCTCATTATAACGAGGTATTTTAGTCGTTATGACATATTATCTTGTCTTTACGAGATAGCTTTCTCATTATAACGAGGTACTTTAGTCGTTATGACATATTATCTCGTCTTTACGAGATAGTTTTCTCGTTATAACGAGATCCAGTTTAAACATAATTTCATGTCACGTGGCAGCTCTACGCTTCCGTACAAATCGGAGCAGTGGTTCGCGGGATATTTTGGTAACAGACACGTGCACATGTCACCATCATGTTTCGTAGAGAAACAGTGATCTGAAAGCCTGGGCCTTTTTCTGCACACAACCACAACAAAGGCCCTGATCTGTCGCACACACAACCTGTCCATGGGTCTTACCTTGACGCTGGTGTGGCTGGTCTGCGTCTCGGCCTCGATCCGGACGTGTCCCCGGCCGTTGTCCCTCCGATCCCGGCTGGAGTTGTTGCGCGAGTGTCGGCTCTGGTAGGTGAGGACGGACGGGATGGTCTCCGCCGCATCGCTCTTGATGAAGAGCCCGTGGAGCGTGGCCGCGGTGCTTTGGGAGATGGTGGTGGTCTGATGGGGGGAGTTGGACTCGTCCGAGTCTCGGCAGTAGATCACTCCGCTCTGAGAGACGTGGATGCTGGGAGCGCAGCCCATACCGCACGCGCCTCCGCAGCCCGATCACGCAGCGACACTCGGGTACCAGCGTCCTCCTGAGCTGCCTGCGGCCGGAAGCACCGTGTCCTCCAGCAGCCTCCAGCTGAGAACATCAGGGTGTGGAGGTGGGTTTAGTTTCTCCTCAACCTCAGCCTCTGTGTCGCTGTCATTTCTGAGACAAGCTGTTTATCAGATAGTTGATTCACTGGTCTGAAGCGCGTCAGACCAGCTGAATGGACCAGATGAAGAGGCTCGGATGGACTAAACCCCGCGGTGCTTCATAATACTCTGTAGCACCATCCTCCCTCCGTCCCTCTGCAGCCCTGCCCGGCCTGTGAGGCTGAAAGCTCTGCTGACTTTAGGTCCTCTGCTCACACATCATTGGCCGCGATCCACGTCCCTCTGCGTCCATCAGCGCACCAGTATAAACCAGTATAAAGCAGGAGGAGTCTGCTTTCCTGGCCTCATAAAGCCTCCCTCAATAAAAAATAAAAGGCTTGGCTTTAAACCTCACATATATCATGAATTGTTCAGCCAAACAAGCAAACTTTATTCCTTATATGAGACATTTTCAACCCAGACTGGACCAAAGTGATGCACAAAAGTATGGAGGACCCAAACTGGCAGAATTAGAAATAAATAACAACAATAAATATAATTAGAAATAAAGGCAGAAATATATATGTATATATTGTTTTTCCTTTTCCTTACATGTGTTTTCATCAAGAAATGACGAGATTTTTTTTTGTTTTTTTACTTTACATAAACATTTCTTGACAAAAATGTGTGTGCGAGGAAAAAGAAAATCTCGTCATTTCTTGATGAAAACATGTGTATGAAAAAGGAAAATTAATATATACATACATATTTC